GCAGGACTGGCAGTTGAATCTCACTTCAACACTGGTGACAGCCAGTGTGGAACTTGCTCCTACAGGGGCAGCGATGGCCACCAACTTCAACAGAGGAGTGGACAAATTCACAGAGGAGCAGGGTATCAATGGCTGCCAGCCATGATGGCTCTGCTCTGCTTCCTCGGTTTTGAGGCAGCATCCTTCTGAATACTAGTAATCCCCGGAACCATACAGAGCTTCTGTGGCAGATATCTTGATGTAGGGAAGGTTTCCTGTGGGTTGAACGTTTGAAAAACTCCAGCCATTTGAAACACGCCTGCTTTGTTCTCCAGCCTTAAGGCTTGCTATGTTGCCAGACTTCTTCTTCTTTGTTGATCACTCGTAGCCGAGTAAGATTGTCTTCCATAAACACGGTTTTAACAGTGAGTCTGTAAGTGACTGTGGAGGCCAGTTATGGACCCACACGTCCTTCCACAGCGGGGACATTGGTTTCCGGGCAGGAGTTGATAACGGTGTGGATTTGCCAAGCATGCCTTCCTCTTAGCATGTTTCTCCCTTGCGTCCTGAGTTCGAGTGTCTTCAAAGCTCATGACACCTTTGGTAAAGGCTGTTCTCCAAATGGAGCACTCACAGGCTAGTGTTTCCCAGTTGTCAGTGTTTATACTACATTTTTTTAGATTTGTCTTGAGACAGTCTTTAAACCTCTTTTGTTGACCACCAGCATTACGCTTTCCATTTTAAAGTTCGGAATAGAGTAGTTGCTTTGGAAGACGATCATCAGGGAATCCGGACAACATGACGAGTCCAACAAAGTTATTGTTGTAGAATCATTGCTTCAACACTGGTGATCTTTGCTTATTCCAGTACACTGGCATTAGTTCGCCTGTCTTCCCAAGACTACAACCTCTCATCAGCACTAGACAGCTTAGGTCAGGGAGGACAGAAGCTCTAGTCCAGCAATATCTGGGAACCCAAGGTTGAAAAGCACTGCCCTGAGGGATACTGCTGAGAGAATGGATCTCTCCTTGGTGCTCTGCACGCCACCCGTTCCCTGACTCTTAACCATGGCCAGATTTAGGTTTGATGAGGCCCTAAACTACTGAAGGTAATGGGGCCCTTTATATGTCCAGCTGTCCTTTGTCAACAACAAACTGTCACTGTTTTTTTGTGTGTTGAATATATGCTATAATATGGTAATTTATGGACCTAATAGGTATCTAAAGCCATTTGCACATGCAGAATATAGGCACCCTATATATTGAAATGAGCAAACCAGTGATATTTGAGGGAGCAGGCTAGCATTACTTACATCATAGGAGCCTAAACAACACAAAACACTGTTGTTGCTGTATGTATGTAGGTTTTATTTTTATTTGTTTTCTATATTATATTTTGGAAATGTACATCCAGGTTTTTTTTCCTTTAATTTTTTTTGGGGGCCCCCAAGAGAGTGGGGCCCTAAGCTATAGCTTGTTTAGCTTATATGTAAATCCGGCACTGCTCTTAACCAGCTATACCTGCATTTCAAATGCGTACAAAACACACCTGTGACTTGTTTTCTGTTTATAGAGAAATGCATTACACAGAGAGGCAGCAGGGAATTCTTCCTACTCCTTTTCCTTGTTACGTTTCCCTTTTTAAAAAAAAAAAAAATTGAGTCATACTTTTCACAAGAACATAGCTGTCCACAATTCAGGAAACTCCACCCTAAAGAAGCATTGCAAATAAGTTTATTTTCCAACTCATATGTTTCTGGTCCATTTCCTTTCAACATTTGCTCACCATAGTTAATGTTGAGTCCAACACACTAATGTACTAGGAAACTTGGAAATGTAATGTACAAGCATTTGATATAAGAGTCTTCTTGCAGAATCTCCTTCCCCTTCAGGCAGTTCTATCCTGAACCCCGGGAGTCAGGGCAGAGCTCTTTCTGATTTTCTGCAGAACTGGGTTGGCATTGTTTGAAGGCTGGGGATGGGATTCTCATAAAAGATTTCCTCCAGGGTGTGGCCTCCACTCCAGCAGAGTGACAGCAGCTATGTGATTACATCATTTGGGACAGATTACACTGGTGTGCATTAGGGTCGGACTACACAAAGTGTGCATTAGGGTGCGTATTTGGTTTGTTAAACTATTTCTTCTTTTTGGAAAAATACAGAAGCTCCTAACAAGTCCTCTTTGATACGGGGTGAATGAAGGGGAAGCCCCTGACCTCAACTTCCTCCAACCTTTGAAAATGCAGTTGTGTGAGAGGGCAAGAAGGACTCAAAAGGATCCTCTATATTGTATAAATCCCAATCCCAATGAATAACGGCAAACATACAGCCTAGACTACAAGGTCAAGAGGAGGTCAAAGAGACATTTCCCCTGGGATCTGCCACTGTCTTCCTCACTTTTTATGTTCACGGCTTAGGGTTGGAACATCTTTTCAGGTTAACATCAGATATTTGACCAGGCAAGTCCTTTCTCACATTTTAAGTCCTTCTTCAGTGACTTCTTTCAGAGACTCAGCCCTCCTTCTGCTCCGACTGGAGATCTGAGCTCAGAGGCATGTACTACAGGGCACATTTAGCTCACAATACCTGAGTATCAACCTGAGTGAACTGAGATGAGAGTGTGATGCAGAGCGTCCCCAGTGCTTTAAGGCTGAATGTTGGAAACTGCCTTAAACTGAGTCAGGCCATTGGTCTAGGGTAGCTCATGACTGACAAAAGCTCTCTGCAGTTTCAGTCATCCTCCACCCCAGGAGTCTTCTTCCATCAAGAACCTCTCCCAAGACTTCTTCTGGCTTCTGGGAGGAGGCCAATTTCAGCTACCATCCCTGCTTTCTTTCCATGTAGCTCTCCCTAACAATAATTCCACTTCTCCCTCTCTCTCTTATCATTAGTGCTTTCTTTGTTTCAGTAGAGAGAAAGTGTGTGTGGTGTAGTGGTTAAGAGCAGTGGACTCGTAATCTGGTGAACCAGGTTTGCATCTCTATTCCTCCACATGCAGCTGCTGGGTGACCTTGGGCCAGTCACACTTCTCTGAAGTCTCTCAGCTTCACTCACCTCACAGAGTGTTTGTTGTGGGGGAGGAAGGGAAAGGAGATTGTTAGCCGCTTTGAGACTCCTTCGGGTAGTGATAAAGCGGGATATCAAATCCAAACTCTCTCTCTAAACTCTAAAGACCAAAAAGGTCACGGGCTACAGTTCTCCAGGCAAATGCATCTACTGCTCAAATAAAATAGAGAACTGTAAGACAGGCCCATAAAAGTGTCTGCTTGCACTTTCCCAGGCATGTCATGTCATCTGTTTAATTTCCTCTGCACTCTGGGTGAATGTAGAAAGGTAAATAACATCTCTATAACAACCACCAGATAATTAGTACTGTCAGAGCTGAGTGAACAAATGAGTCTAAATGTTAAAGATGACAGGGGGGAAACACACAGGTTTTTTTATTATTACAAAGGAAACTTACTCTCGGGTGAGTATGCTTAAGAGTGCAACTAAGTACCACTGATTTACATGAGAGTAGTTTAACAACATGACTAACTTTTAAAATGCTCACTGGAAGGACAGATCCTGAAGCTAAGGCTCCAATACTTTGGCCACCTCATGAGAAGAGAAGACTCCCTGGAAAAGACCCTGATGTTGGGAAAGATGGAGGGCACAAGGAGAAGGGGACGACAGAGGACGAGATGATTGGACAGTGTTCTTGAAGCTACCAGCATGAGTTTGACCAAACTCCGGGAGGCAGCGGAAGACAGGAGTGCCTGGCGTGCTCTGGTCCATGGGGTCACGAAGAGTCGGACACGACTAAACGACAACAACAACTTTTAAAATAAACCGAACAGCAGTGAACTCAGGCTGAATGAATCACATCCTTAGAACATATTGAGTCTAGCAACGAGTCAATACTAGACTAATGAAACTTGCTCTCTAATCTAATGCACACTTACTTGAGAGTAAGTCCCATTGCATTCAGTGAGCAAATATGCAAATGCTCAGGGTACTAATGATGGGAGACATATTCATATAGAGCAGGCTTGCCCAGTTGTTCTCCAGATGTTATGGGCTACACCTTGCAACATCCCAGGCCATTGGCCATGCTGGGTCGAGCAGATGGGCGTTTCAGGCCAAAACATCTGGGTGGCACCATGTTGAGGAATATGGATATATAGCAATAAGATTACAACATGGCCATTTATAAACCTACTCAAAGTATAGGTTGTCTTGTAAGAGCTTTAGCTTTGGTGGTAGCTAACAGGGCATACCTGTAAATATGCAAATAGGAAATGTCTTCCTCTTGCACCCCATCCCTAGAAAAGGAGCCAAATCTACATAAATGTTAATTGCATTTGCTCTAGGGTTGCTTGTTTAGATTTCTAATACACACCTCTATCTTCCCCCTGCCCTTTGACACTTGAAATGTATATATTTAGGACCCACCCTCTTATTGTGATTGGAGCTTGTTTTAGGCTGTTGTTAATGTTGTGTTTTAAACTGTTGTGACCTTCTGCAGACCCTCTGAGTGTCCCTATTTTCCAGAGACAGTCCCAGATTTACAGAAGCCATCCCTAGTTTCTGACTTGATCCCGAAATGCCCCTCTTTTCCTTAGGACGTCCCTTCTTTCATCAGAGAAATGTTGGAGGGTATGGAGTTATGCGACCCCTGAGCCATCTGAAGGTATAGGGAAGTTTTAAAAAAATGTTTAATGTTTTAATCTGTTTTTATATATGTTTGAATCTGCCCATAGTGACTGGGGCAGCCCAGTCAGATGGGAAGAGTATAAATATTTTTTTATTATTATTATTTTGTTTTTATTAAACAGGACATCCCTATTTTCCTCAGAGAAATGTTGGAGGGTATGCTGCCATGTGACCTAAGGATAATGAATCAAAATAATAATATCAGTCAGAGCCGGGCTGCAATCTATTGAGAATCCAAAAGGAAATCTACAATTATTAACATATAAAACACAAGAGGGCCTTCGGGTGTCGGAACGAGCGGAGCGTCAGGAAGAAGCAAGCCAGCAAGCGAGGAGGCAGGATCATGTCGGGACGAGATGGTGGCAAGAAGAAACCTTTGAAACAGCCCAAGAAACAAGCGAAGGAAATGGATGAGAAAGACAAAGCATTCAAGCAAAAACAGGAGGAAGAGCAGAAGAAACTTGGTGAGTAGAAGGCAAAAGCAGCTAGCAAGGGCCCACTTACTGGAGGTGGGATTAAGAAATCTGGTAAAAAGTAGCAGATTTGATGAGACTACGTGGCAAGAAAAGCATTCACTCTCACTGGATGCTTGGCACTGGGATGGATTTCCAGGCTGATGTTGTGGGAAACATTACCGTATTTTTCGCTCTATAAAATGCACTTTTCCCCTCCTAAAAAGTAAGGGGAAATGCATTTTATGGGGCGAATGCAGGTGGGAGGCTCTGCTCAGCGCTCCCTTTAAAAAGCCGTGGGGAGCGTGTGTGCGGCTCTTGGGGGCTTTTCCCCGAGGAGAGAGAAGGGCTGTCCTTCTCCCTCCTTGGGGAAAAGCCCCCAAGAGCCGCACACACACTCTGCACACTCTTTAAAGGGAGCGCGGCTCTTGGGGGAGCCTTCCTCCCGCTGCCCGGAAGAGGCTTCGCGTGGCTATCCCATAAGCAATCCCGCTTGCTGTCCTGGCTTCTGGCTTAGCTGCGCGCAGCCTCTTCAGGGCAGGGGGAGCCTTCATCCCGCTTCCCTGAAGAGGCTTGGGTGGCTATCCCAGAAGCCAGAACAGCAAGACGCTATCCCAGAAGCCAGATCCCTCTTGCTGTTCTGGCTTCTGAGATTCAGAATATTTTTTTTCTTGTTTTCCTCCTCCAAAAACTAGGTGCATCTTATGGTCTGGTGCGTCTTATGGGGCGGAAAATATTGTGATTTGAGCACCTTTGTACATTTTGTTCAAAGAAAATAAATGGTTTTGGTTGTTTTTTTTTTGTTAAAAGAAAAAAAATATATAAAACACAAAGATAAAAACCCCAGATAACCCAACACTATTACACTGTTGCATATTTTTGGATCCTCGTTGATCGGAGGGGAAGCTGTTCTGTTGAAGGGGCTTAATCAAGCGAAACCTCATGAGAGAACAAAGCAATATTACAAAGATGATTTCATGGTGTCACATACTGATCCCGAAATGAGATTTGTAGGCTCCGTCCATGAAGGTTCTACACAGACTGCATACAGAGCAAGCGTTCAGTCTTGATATGCAAACCAAGGAAGCGCATTATGGAAGTTACAGGTTAGCGCTGCACAATCTGTTTGTTCTCTAACAACACAACTATTGTTTGTGCCTCCTAGCATACTTAATTCTGCCTCATATAATATCTCTGCTTCCCCGCATGAAATGAGCTTCTGCTTTTCCAAGTGCTACTGGTATTAGCGGCTGCCCAAGATAAAGAGCGCAGCAGGAAACTTTTTAATAATTTTATTTTACGACGGCTCTGGGGACAAGCATATGCTGTTGCAACCATTTGAAATACCCCACTAGAGGCACCAGCTTGTAAGGGCAATTGGCGCGGGGGGACAGGACAATGTCACGCGCATGGCGTCGCGCATGGCGTCAACGTGCGCATGACGTCAGGAGGAGCCCAAGTACCAATTTATGCTCTTTATAATGTACGGTATATACAAACAGGTCGAAACATTAGCAGGATTTTAAATGAACCTGTAATGTAACAGAATGTATAGATAACTTAGGAAGATGAAAAGTATTGCTATGCAGCTGAAAATACAATCAAAAGGACCCATGGATGGGGGGAAGTCAGGAGATTCAGAGCCGCTGCCCCATGGTAACATAAGAGTACCAGCCAGCTTGTTGAGCAAACAACACAACTGGACTGCTACTCACAACTGGACTGCGTTGTTGCCATTGTGGTCTGTAGGTGGCACTATTTTATTTTGCTATTACTGTACCCTAGGGTTTGCCGACCAGAAGGTTGGCGGTTCGAATCCCCACGACGGGGTGAGAACCCGTTGTTCGGTTCCTGCTCCTGCCAATCTAGCAGTTCGAAAGCATGTCAAAGTGCAAGTAGATAAATAGGTACTGCTCCAGCGGGAAGGTAAACGGCGTTTCCGTGCCCTGCTCTGGTTCGCCAGAAGGGGCTTAGTCATGCCTCCCTCGGCCAACAAAGCGAGATGAGCGCCGCAACCCCAGAGTCGTCTGCGACTGGACCTAACAGTCAGGGGTCCCATTACCTTTTACTACTAATAATTTTATTATTTATATCCCACCCAACTGGCTGGGCCTCCCCAGACACTCTGGGCGGCTCCCAGCAAAGGACTAAAAAGAGAAGAAAATTTCAAACATTAAAAGCTTCCCTAAACAGGGCTCCTAGTTTTTCACTGGCTTCTGTTCAATCTGCCTTTGATTTTCTCTAATTGCAACTACAGTGGTACCTCGGCTTAAGTACTTAGTTCGCTCTGGAGGTCCGTACTTAACCTGAAACTTTTCTTAACCTGAAGCACCATTTTAGCTAATGGGGCCTCCTGCTGCCGCCGCACCGCCAGAGCCCGATTTCTGTTCTTATCCTGAAGCAAAGTTCTTAACCTGAAGCACTATTTCTAGGCTAGCGGAGTGTGTAACCTGAAGCGTATGTAACCCGAGGTACCACTGTAGTTCCCTTCCCTATCTCCTACTCAGGGAAATGCCAGGATTTACAGAAATGCAAACTTTTTTTTCCCAAGGGGGGAGGAGCTCTAAAGGGGATCCCTTTTGTACCAACAGCTGGTGTGGGTTTTATCGTCTTATAGTACAGCGGCCACAGAACGCAGACTGACTTTGTTAGGAGCAGCAGGCAGGGGGTGAGCAGCAGCAGCCCCCACTGCGATATTTGGGTGCAGGGCCCTCCTGTCAATCATCTCAGTATCAAGATGGGTTTCATAAATGTAAACAAAAGATGCTTCAAAGTCACGCTGCCATTTCCTGAACATCTACTACATCATGACACCAGGAGACACACTATAAATTAGCGTTTCAATTCTGAAAGAAAAGTTAAACGTATGTTGGGGTTATTTAATCCAATTAGGCATAGAATCCCAAAGGAGTTCAGAGCCATTAAAAGATTATAAGGGCTAGTATAATGTCATGTGCTGAGTTAATTACTACATCCCCAGTTATCAACTTAAATGTGATTTAGTATGTCTAAGAATGCTGGATCGCTTGTAATGAATTCTGAGTAGTTTTGCATCATATCGCCTTCAATGCCTTTTATTTCGAACTCTTTAAATCTTTTTAAAATCTAGAGTGCAGAGCTGAAGTCTAAAGGCTGCTGGGTCTCACTAATTTCAGTTGTGCATGCAAATAGGGGCAACTGATGTCCTCTTACATGATCAGTAAATAGGGAGCATCTGGAAAATGGTTTATAGCTCTCTGTGGCTCGCGTTAGGCTCAATGGGGCAGGTTGCAGTAAACAAGACTGTTAGAAGCCTGAAAACCAATTGCCTTGGAAAATCCGATGGCTGTAGGTCCCTTTAACTGGTCGCATTCTGCTCCAAGAGCTTGAGCAGAACCTCAAAGTTAACCTTCCAGTCTATCTTGTTCCAAGGCACCAGCCTTTGTTGGCTGGAAGAAACAGCTGACCATGTAATATGGAACTGTTTGAAGTAAAGCAGTGAATTGGGGGGCAGGAGAGCTGAAAAGAATGCCACTATATTTCACACCTGGCAACCAATGTGCCCTTTCGTTTTCAGATAGTACATGGGAAAGGTAAAGGGACCCCTGACCATTAGGTCCAGTGGCGGACGACTCTGGGGTTGCGGCGCTCATCTCGCTTTATTGGCCGAGGGAGCCGGCATACAGCTTCCGGGTCATGTGGCCAGCATGACTAAGCCGCTTCTGGCGAACCAGAGCAGCGCACGGAAATGCCGTTTACCTTCCCGCCGGAGCGGTACCTATTTATCTACTTGCACTTTGACGTGCTTTCAAACTGCTAGGTTAGCAGGAGCAGGGACCGAGCAATGGGAGCTCACCCCATCGCAGGGATTCGAACCGCCGACCTTCTGATCAGCAAGCCCTAGGCTGTGTGGTTTAAGACCACAGTGCCACCCACCACTTCTTAGGTTGTGCTAATATTCACTGATCGAATGACGCATGTTGGCTTCAATAGTGCTTCAGTAACCTTCTAAACCTATTTATCCAGAGACAACAGCAGAGTGAGCAGGAAAAATGGATGGCACTATGAGTAATGACAGGGCAGCACACAGAAACGCCGTTTACCTTCCCACCGGAGTGGTACCTATTTATCTACTTGCACTTTGTGTTTTCGAACTGCTAGGTTGGCAGGAGCAAGGACCGAGCAACGGGAGCTCACCCCGTTGCGGGGATTCAAACCGCCGACCTTTCGATCGGCAAGTCCTAGGTGCTGAGGTTTAACCCACAGCGCCACCCGCGTCCCAGATACACTTCCAAAGTTAATGCTAAATATGTTACTTCTGGGGACGCGGGTGGCGCTGTGGGTAAAACCTCAGCACCTAGGACTTGCCGATCGAAAGGTCGGCGGTTCGAATCCCCGAGGCGGGGTGTGCTCCCGCTGCTCGGTCCCAGCGCCTGCCAACCTAGCAGTTCGAAAACACAAAGTGCAAGTAGATAAAGCGCTGGCTCCCGGCCTATAGAGTGAGATGAGCGCACAACCCTAGAGTCTGGCAAGACTGGCCTGTACGGGCAGTGGTACCTTTACCTTTACCTTTTATGTTACTTCTGCTGCATGAGCCACCATTGCCACTAGAGGGACGTGAAAATTTGTGTCCTGGGCTTTTTAGACTCCTCTACCCATGTACTGGGGACGCGGGTGGCGCTGTGGGTAAAAGCCTCAGCGCCTAGGGCTTGCCGATCGAAAGGTCGGCGGTTCGAATCCCCGCGGCGGGGTGCGCTCCCGCTGCTCGGTCCCAGCGCCTGCCAACCTAGCAGTTCGAAAGCACCCCCGGGTGCAAGTAGATAAATAGGGACCGCTTACTGGCGGGAAGGTAAACGGCGTTTCCGTGTGCTGTGCTGGCTCGCCAGATGCAGCTTTGTCACGCTGGCCACGTGACCCGGAAGTGTCTCCGGACAGCGCTGGCCCCTGGCCTCTTAAGTGAGATGGGCGCACAACCCTAGAGTCTGGCAAGACTGGCCCGTACCGGCAGGGGTACCTTTACCTTTACCTTTTACCCATGTACTATCTGAAACCAAAACAATGCATTGGTTGCCAGACATGATTCCCCCCCAGTTCTCCTACCCCAGTAGAAAGAGAACCTCTTTTAAATTTTATTTTAAAAAGTGATTTGGATATTGCAGATTT